CCCCCCCCCCCTCTCTTTCCCGAGTATTTGCTCGATCAGTGTAAGATTTCCGAGAATAAGGTGATCGTTAACAATTGATGCAGGAGAAGGAGTCTTGGGACATGAACACCCAGGAAAAGATCGAGGCTGCAGGAAGGAAGAAGGAAGAAGGCAACGCGTTGTTCAAGGCTGGAAAATATGACAGAGCTTCCAAGAGATACGAAAAGGTACGTTGCCGATCCTTTTCTCTGATACGTGAAATGGTATATATTTCCCTTCGCCTTTTGTCGGCCGAGACCAAATAAATGTAAATTTGACATGCAGGGCGTGAGATACATAGAGTATGAGTCGTCATTGGGCGAAGAGGAGAAGAAGCAGGCGAAAGCTCTGAAAATATCATGCAACCTGAACAATGCGGCGTGCAAGCTGAAGCAGAAAGATTACAAACAGGTGGTGAAGCTGTGTACAAAGGTAGAGGAGCCGTATGACTCGTGGTCTATTATATACGCAGTGCCCTAGACCCACAGAATGCGATGGGTAAATCAATTAGAGGTGACGTGAGAGCAGGTGTTGGAGATGGAAGGGAGGAACGTGAAGGCGCTGTACAGAAGGGCAGAAGCGTACATAGAGACGGCTGATTTGGAGCTGGCAGAGATTGATATCAAGAAAGCTCTCGAGATCGATCCTGACAACAAGTGCGTAGAAACTTGGGGAATCAAACTCTGACGGTTAGTTAAAAACATGTGAGTAACTGTTGTCTGGCGAATGGATGCAGGGAGGTGAAGAGGGAGTACAAGAAGCTGAAGGAGAAGGAGAAGGAATACAACAAGAAAGACGCCAGATTCTACAGCAACATGCTTGCTAAGATGCTCGAGCCCCACGTAAGTAGTCAACTTATCAAACGTGTCTCGGTACATCGGCTGAGTTTTTGACAAATAACTGGGATTTGCTTTCGGGATTAATGAGCAGAAAACAGCGAAGAAGGAAGCGCAACCTATGAGCATCGACGCAAAGGCTTGACACCCCAAGTCCTCAGACTGATATTGGCGTATGCATTATTCTGCGTCTTTTCAGTTGTTTTTATTTTTTAAATTCCGTGCGTAATGAATGTATCGTGTGTCGGTGGGAATGTGCTTACTGGTGGCGTCTCTGTGTAAAACGTTTCCGTAAAACGCCATCAAATTACGTCCACGTGTTGTGCTAATGGAACCCTGTTCATGTCTTGACAATCAAAATCTGAAAAGAAAGGAGGAAACTTCGGCTTTGAAATCGAAGTCAAACCCTTGACTGTGTATATTGAGGGAAACGACAAATACATTCTGGGAACCCACACGATGACCTTCATCATCTTCACCGTCGGCCTTGGCAGTTACGCTGGTCCAGAGTCTCCAAAAGGCTGAACCAATTTTTGGCAACAGACAGACCCTTGTATAAACTATGTGCCCCACCACCCCCCGTATCCGAAATGAAATCTCAGAAGAAGAAGAAAAAAAAAAGAATTGTGCACCAAAGAGAAGTGGGCACCAAACTCTGGGACGAGACGGGTGATTGATTTTACCACTAGCTGACTTGCTCCCCGATGAGATCGAGACCGACGACTAAGAACGTGATCCCTTGGAACATGAGGAAGTAGAAATGTATCCCCTGCGCCGACAGCAAACTCCTCGCTGAAGCTGCCAACAGGATCAATGCCAGTGCCACTTCTGTCCTATACAACCTGTTCCTCTTCCTCTTCCCTCCTTTCTTCCCCGTCCCCAGTCTGCTCAGCTCCGCCAGTCCTGAATCCGAGGACGATCTCTGAATGCTCCCTGCCTCCACAAGTGGTTCCGACTCTCCAAACGCAACCAGGTCCGCCTCCGATGATCTCCCCAGCTTTTTCGTCACTACCCACTCGTACGAGCTCGTAAACTTGAACAACCCCGAAATCATGGCGCTGAATTTGGTCACAGACATGGTGTTCTCAAACAGGAGGTAAGGAACTATGAATGGGAATGACCTCGGGGCCGGAATGATGTTTAGGATGGACATGATCCCCGGAATGTAGCAAACCACCCAGGCCGGTAAGTCGGCCTCCGGGAAGAACATCGTCAACGGGAGAATCACGCAGAAGAGAGTGAACGAGTAGAACGGGAGGATCAGCTTCCGTAGAAGGAAGAAGAGAAATATCATGTTTGCTTTCTTGGCCACACTCACCTGCGGTACTGAAACAAAATGGAATTATACAATGCCCCGATATACATATGTATATATATGTTATGGGTCGATTAATACGAGTAATCGTAATCTCACTTCACCTTAGAACGGAGGATGTCGAAGAAGCAGAGGCGGAACAATTGCATTGGCCCTGAATGCCAACGGTATTGCTGTTTCTTGTAGGCTTCATATGACTCCGGGAGTTCACAAAGACACTGTCCGAATCAGACATTAGGATGAGATTTTTTGTCGAAAACTTCCTCGTAACTTCAAATGGGCAATAACAACAGTCCGGTGTATATATACCTTCACATCATTCAGATAAATGAACTTCCATCCACAAAGATGAGCACGGACAGCGATATCCATGTCTTCTACAGTTGTTCGTTCTAACCATCCTCCACATTCCTCGAGGGCTTTGATTCTCCACACACCAGCAGTTCCGTTAAACCCGAAGAAGTTGATAAACACACCATTGACCTGCTGCTCCACTTCAAAGTGGAAAGACAAGTTTATGTTCTGTAGTCTCGTAAGCAAGTTCTCGTCTTTGTTCACAAATGACCATCGTGTTTGGACCAAAGCCACATCGTCATTTCCCTGAAAAGACGAGTAAAAATTCGAAATATGAGAAGAGAAGAGGCGGATAATTGCATAGTAAGACACAAACAAAAAAAATTCTACAAATCATTTGCACTGAACATGACAGAATCTCAAACATGTGCTTAGTCACTCAAGAAGCCTTCTTCTACCACACACTGACGACAAGGGTTCATACTATCATGGAGCAGTCCGAACAACCTCAAACATGTATACCGAAACGGAAAGGTATTAGCCCCATCAGTTAGTTCTTGCTGAACTAGACCGGACGTTGATTGTAGTGTGTACTATTTCGTGGATGATATCACCAAAAATTCTAGCTTTTTATGCTTTCTGGTTCAATATTCTTCCTCGACAGCTCGGACCATTACAATAAAGATATATGGACTATCCTACAGGACAGCATCTCACTGATGTCTCCAACTTCGGACCAGAGTCTAAAACAAGCTGATGACAAGGAGTTAAACTTACTGATGTACATGTCCTAGGAAGAAGGTTACCTTGAAATGAGGCACGGTTTTTTTCAAGAAATCAGGTGGAGGCTGGAAATCTGCATCAAAGATTGTGACAAACTCATAGTCTTTCACATACTCGCAATTCATGGCAGCTTTGAGGTTTCCAGCCTTGTACCCTGTCCGTATCAGACGGTGTCTGTACAATATCCGGACTCCACGTTGTTGCCATTTCTGTACTTCAGCCTTAATAAGAAGCTGAACGTCTAATTCGTCAGAGTCGTCAAGAATCTGCACAAGCATCCTTTCCTTTGGCCAGTCGAGGATACAGACAGCAGCAATGGATTGTTGGTAAACCTGCATCGAATTGAATGATGTGAGATTCACAAAAACGCAATCAGAATCAAGAAAAGCTCAAGTTCTGAGTAACAATGGCGACATATACAGTGAAAACAGGAGCTACGCAAGTGGATAGGGCAAATTCCATGTTCAAGAGCAAAAGATGAACTGGGAATAGAGACCTACATCTGCTTACCTCCCTCTCATTGCACATTGGAATCTGCACGAGCACCATTGGATAATCCTCCACTCTCTCTCCCGCCTCCACCGCCGTCTCCGGATACTCCATGGCCGCCACCGGCTTTATCCGGCGGAGCTTGATCCAGAAGCACCCCATCACTAGCACCAATCGGTCCACCGACTGAATCAAGAACAGAACTATGCAGACATTGGTCAAACTCTGCAGCGGCGGCGCCAGATACGACGCCCTGATCTCCAGCCACCGCGCGTAAGCGACCTCCACCGCAGCCTCCGCCGATGCCACCGACGGCGGAGCGAAGTGCCACCCCTTGAAATACGCGGCGAGCTCGAAGCAGAGGAGGAGGATCACAACGGCGAGGAAGCCCTTTATCGCGCGGTAGAGTCTCGCCGACGTGGACGACGACGAAGACGGCGATACCGATGGCGGAGAATCGGTGGCAATGCGGCGGTTTGCGGTTCGGACAAGGTAGACGAAGGAGGAGGCGACCCAGGCGACAGAGGCGGCGAGTTGCTGGAACTTGAGGAGGTAGAGCCACGAGAGCTGTCGGGCGGTCCGAGCCCGGATCCGATCCTTATCTGGGGCGACTGCGGGTGTACGGATTTCGACGGTGAGGAAGGCGTTCTCTTCTCCGGCGGCGGTGGAGTAGACGTCGCCGGAGAAAATGTCTTGGTTCCTCTCTCGCTGCTTGTTCCACCATTCCTGAAACTCCTTGTTCTGCGCCCGCGACATCCAACGGAACCGAACCCACAACAGCAATCTACGGAACAGGATCAGAGACAGGGAAAAGGAACACGATGAAATTGGTAGATCTATGAATCTGGAGAATCTGTGATGGAGGAGAGAACAGGATTGGGCTAAACTTAGTAAGAGGGCTCTTCAAGTGTCCGCTCGGATTCTTCTTTTGGAAAATAAAAATGTCAAAGTTCTAATCTTTCGTTCTTTAATTTTGTTGGGTTCGATTGATGTGCGAGGAGAAGCAGCAAATGCAAGTGCTTTGAGGATTCTTCCATTAACAGATCTCTCGATCTCTCTCTCTCCACATTTTCTCACGCGCTGATTGCGGAATCGAACCGATCCCCCGCGTGTAACCCACGTTTTCTTCCGGTTTGGTCAAATTAATAAACCGGTTTAATCCCGGTTTAGATTGTTTGGATGTAATTTCGTCACATTGTTATCTAAATACGAACAATGATGCGTTAGATGATTAAATTATTAACAGTCTAATATTGTGTTCAACGATGAATAATTTTTCTTTAGACTTTGCTAAGATGATAGGCAAAAAAATTCATTTTTTCATTATTCCAAAAATATTTAAAATCAACAAAATTATACACGTTTTTTCCTTTTAAAACGACATTTTATAATTTTAAAAAATATATTTTATTGTTATACACGCTGGTGCACAAATCGCTTTACATTGAACCGACATCAGGCCCATTATTAAAGTCAGGCCCATTAAGTTCTGGGTAAAGCCCATCAGACTTGTAATCAGACCCATATTAAGATGTCTTATAAAGCTAAAAAAATGTCGTCAATAAACAAAACTCTAAATTTAATTTGGCAAAAAATTAAAAATGGAAAATAAAACGCCAAGGTTATACAGTTGGAGTTCATATGAAGGTGATCCAACGAAAAGAAAAGAGAAGTTGGTGAACCAAAAGTATTTTGTTTTCTTTCCCCTAAAGTTAATTACCTCTCTAAACCATAGTTTATTCATTAATCATTAATTTATTATGTATTATCATTATATTGTTGTCGTCGTCTTTGTTACTATGATTCATTTTGTTATCCATTAGGTAAAGCAAAATAATCAGATTATAAATATTATGGTTGAATTATTAAATACTATGGTTGATGATCTCCCCATATACCAATAATAAGATTTAAAATCACGAAAAGGGCCATTCTATTGTAGAAAATATTTATAAAAAAAATATGCATTATCTTATGATTCTTTTTAATCACAAATTATTTATCACTCTCGATTTAGATTTTTTGCAGAGGAAAATCTTTGATGTCTCCCTATAATATAATTATAAATAATAACTTATCCTAATTAAAGAAATGCATTTCCCTAAATGAAATGATTTAACGGATTCCTAACCAAAAAAAAAATCGAACATATGTAAAGTGAGATGCGATAGCAATTCGAAGGGAAAGTGCCCTTAGGCTAAAAGGGCAACTGATGAATATCAAAGTCTGTAATTACACGACCAGAAAAAAAAAACGATATACATTCTGTGAAAATATGCGTAACATAAATATTATTTTTATATAATATATTATAGGAAAACGAATTACGAGTGCTTGCATTATTATTTATTTATATGGGTTGGACGTATAATCGTAGATTATAGGAAATATGGATGCTACTATATCCAATATATATATATAACATTTATATAGTAATATATAATAATTATATTGGTATAAATGACATATATTGCGTTATACACCTCATTGTATACGAATCGCAGCCATTTTTAAAATAAAATTCCCAATCTTATCTAATTTTCCTCGTTCAGAAAAAAAATTATAAAACGAAGTACAACGCTTGTTTTGATATATGATTTTGGTTTATAATTTCTCTTTCTTTTAACAACTTGCATGGACCGTCGTAAAGGATTTGTAAAAGGGAAATAAGAAGAAGCTTTAGGTTTAGGACATGTCACAAAGTGTTTTGCCACTAAAAAACATTTTGATATACGAGGGACAAAAAAGGGGCTGTCACATGAACATTGTCATTTCTAATAATGATTTTAATTAATTATATTAAATATTCTATCGAGATGCAACTAATCTTCAATGTATAAAAAACATTGAAAATAACATCCACATTCAAAGCACCTTTTTATTATTATTTTATTTGTATTGATAATTATAATATATTTGATTAAAAATAGTAAATTAAACTAAATTAAATTACGCCAAAACATCCCGCAGTCCAATAATTCAATCTTTGGTTTAAAATTTTAATAATCACTAAGGCTGCAACCGAAGACTTTCTTCACTTTTTTAAAAAACTGACAGAAAAGATTTATTTGTTTAATTACTTTTGTATTGTACTTTAATTAACAACTTATCAATTATTACTGATTATTTTTTAATCCATTGTATAATTATTCTGTGTGCTTAAGTCCACTAATTCGAGTTTATAACCATGTGATTGATACATTCTTTTAGTTCCTGTTCATACATCGTCATGTAATCCAATCAATTAATCTTTGATTATTTACAAAATCATAATAACCTACAACTTATATTATTTAGATAATATAGAAAATACCAATGCATCATTAAAATTGGTACGAATTTCCGATTTTCTGCTGCGGTAGATCAAAACAATATTATATTGTAATATCTCTTAATCCGTTGAATAATAGAAATATATTATAGAATAATACCTCTTAATTAGTTATTACGTGCGTGCCCGTAAAAAAAAAAATCAAATTTGTAGTTTATAAAGCTAAGATTGTCGGTGTTTCTTAATTTTGGAAACAGATTGGAACATAAAACATAAAGATTTTTTAATTGATATTTTAGATTTCAATATATATATGTTGTGTGTGTTCGGTCAATCGGTGTGAATTAAGAGATAAAACCTTGATTATAATTAATCACGATATTAATTTTATACCAATTATATGAATAGAATATAATTAAAAACCCCAAGTTAGAAAAAAAAAATAGACGTGTAACAATAATTAAACAAATTATTATATTATGACTAATTTATTCGATTAAACAAATTATGTCGCTTGATTGGTTCTGCCTTCACCTGTTTGAATAAAAAACACGGGAACAGACAGAAGCTTCTCCTTTCCCCTCGTAAATCTATGAAAATTGCAATTTGACCCATATGAATTGCAGAAATCACGGGTTGACCCCGTTATTAAAAAAACAATCAATCTTATTTTTTTTAAGCTCAAAAACCGGTCATATTAAAAAAAAAAAAGATTTATCTCAAAGACAAAGAAGGATAAAGACATTGCACCATACACTATACACAACAGCTGGTTAACACTAGCAAATATCAAATCAAAAGAAATAAATCAAAGATATATCTAACAATGAAAGTGATGGGTCGACAAGAAAATCAATTTGTTATTATGTTTAGTTTTTAGAGAGATTCTAATCCATCATTTCAGCTATGAAAAGTATTTCTTTTGTTGCAAAGTGAATAGCAAATTAAATTGGAGAGTAATATTAGATATTGTAACAATATATGGAAAATGATGTAACGAATATGAAAATTAAAGAATATGAAAATTAAAGAAAATTGATATTGTCAACTATATCTATGTATATATATATGGAGAGAGAGAGAGAGAGAGAGTTGGAGAATATAAAGTGGAGAGCTCTTAATATGATTATGACTATAATAATCTTGCATTTTAGTGGGGGATACAGTATTATATTACAGAGAACAAAAAAGCAAAAAGAATCCAAAGGAAATCACATTGGATAACATTACTATGGAGCCCCACAAAAAAGAATTAATGGGGTACAAAATTAATAGAAGAGAGGGGAAAAAAGATAGGTAAAAAAAAAAGTTAACTTTTGGGGGGCGAAAAAATGTTATATATGTATATAGATATGTAGAGAGGCCTATATATAAAAATAAAAATAAATGTCGGGTCCAATTTAAATTTATTGTTATATACACCCATCAATCCCTTGTCTTCGCTTCTTCCTTGGACCTTGAAATTGGACATCCACTTCATGTAAAAATCAAATAAAGGGTTGATTCAAAGCTCAATTTTCATATCTGGTTCTTGATTTGAACCTGCATTATACACAGTCCACGTGGTCACAAAAACTCGATTTTTGAAATATAAACACCATATATTATATACACACAACCACATAACTGATATAACCATAAATCTCATACTTTGAATATTTTGCAGTTCCATTTGGACCGTCGGTTCCGATTGACAATGTGCAAAACCCATTTGAACAAGGCTGTTTAACTCGTCTTCACAAAATATTGGATACTGAAAATATAACCGAAACATGTTAGAATCAATTCAAATTTGGGGGGTCAAATTCGTTAAATAGAAATATGGGAAGAAAATGTGAGAATCGATTAACCTGGGGAATAGAAGTTTCCAAAGGGACAATTGGACATTGGAGAATTGTTCTCAACGAGGAAATGTTGGGGCGTAATTGTAAATTATTTTGTTGGTGCACTTGACCTAATTGCTGAATATGCATGGGGTGGTCGTTGCATGGAGGAACCATCTGGAAATTAAATTTCGGATAACAAAATAAAAGCCTGTTAGATTATTACAAAAAAATTAATAGAATTTTTGTGCGAAATACAATTGATTTGATGGTGACCGGTGATTAAGGAATTGATACAGTGGATTATGAAAAAATTAATTGTGATTATTAATATTAATACGACGGTGACTTACGTCCTTTGACACTAAAGTGTCCACGTTATAATCCAGCCTGGTGTTCACCGAAGCTAACTTCATCGACAAGAACTGCCATTATCATTGAAAAATAATAATCAAAATTAAATACGTCGATTAAATTTAAATGGTCTAACAAATAAAATCTAATAATATTGAAATTACCTCAACTTGCCGTTGCAATGATTGGACGTAGTTTATAATTTCGTCCAACATCAGTGCTTTGCCAGTAACCTTTTTATTTAAAAAAAAAACGAAACTTTTTCCTTAATAACAGTAATAATAAATGCTAATCAATCATTTTTTTTTTTGAATTTTATGATATGATGATAATTGTAATTAGTCAGTGATTAATGAAAATCTCTGTCACCTTGTTGCACCCAGGAACAAGATCTTGAAGCATCTTCATCCTCTCGCTTATTTTCTCCCTCCGGACCTGAAAACCCACATCGCAATTTAGAAACACGCAATAAAAAAAAATCAAAATCGAGACCATATATTATAAATATAATTAATGTGAATATTCATTCAAGACTCGACCAATTGCTAGGGTTATACGTATGACATGACATGCTCTGAATTCCAACGAAAAATGACAAATTACGATACAGAAATTCAGGATTTTATATATCTTCGTACCGATCGGTCCATCAAGACGAATCTCTTTTGTTTTACCCTTTCTGAATTCACCGGTTGGAATTCAAGTACAAGGATTACGGACTCGTCGGTGTCAATTTCAGTAAAAAAGTGACGTAATTTTTTTTTTCATTTTATACGATCGATAAAAAATAGATTAGGTCGGGAGGGTAAGAAGTTAAGAGAAGGGAAATTACTCGTTCGGCGAGGCTGTGGCTGTCAGTGGCTTGGCCTCGACGGGCTCGGACATGGATGTAATCTTTGGGAGCTTCGGGTGGTTTCGTTATGTTCTTGTTCTTGTTCCCCTTTCCTTCTTCCTCGACCAGCTCTTCTTTCTCCCCGTCTTCTTCTGAATTCTTCCTTCTCTTTGGATCCGAATCCTCCTGTAAAAAAAAACCTTTTTTTTCACTTTTACGCGGAAAGCTGAGTGTTCGGAGATGGGTTCCAGGTATAATGGGTAAAAATGTTAAAAAAGCGTGTCTTTTTCCCGTTTTCGAAATTCGAAAGTTGGGTTCTTTTTTCTTTGGTGAGAAAATTCCAAAACTTTTTTCCTGGAAAGTTTGTTTACCTTCAAGGAATTGGACGATGGGGAAGCGGGATTCTCCTTGGGTTTCGCTTTCGGGACGTACTTTCTTTTCCGGGTAAATTCACCGCATACCATCGGACATTGATCTTCATCGCCAGGAGGATTCTTACACATCTGAGACGCCAATGCCGTGGGCTTTAGGGCCGGGCTGCTCGAGACACGTGGCAGCTTCCCATTGCCTCCCACCTCTGCGGCTGTTCCGTTGACGGCTTTGTTGCAGCCTCCGGCGACTCCGGCAGCGTTGTTTCCGGAGATCGGAGAAGTTGTCCGGCCGTTGAAACTCCGGCTGCCGAAGCAGGAGAACCTCGCCGCCCTCTCAGCGAATCCTGGGTCGCCGGAGAATTCGGTCAAAGGAGTCGTTTTGGCCACCTTCATCGGAGAAGTCAGCTTCGCCGGTGGTGGAGAGCTCATCGGAGTGCCATAGCACGAGCCATTTCTCGCCGGAGTCCCGTAGATCTCGCCGGAGCTGCTGCCGATGTTCCCGAGCTTCCCGATGAGCTCTCTGATGATGAAGTTATCTCCTCCTCCTACGCCTCCGCCGGAAAAGTAGGAGTTCGACGCCGTCGGCGACGAGACGAGTGAGCTGAGAGCAGAGTCGAAGATGCTCTGTTCCGTTGACTTTTCTGAGAAGAAGCAATCCTGTGTCGGATTCCGACCGAGATTGGGCTCCAGTGGTTGGATCCCCGTTGAGGAAGACATCAAATGCCAGTTCATCATCGCCGACGAATACGGCGGCGGTTCGAAGTGCATCGCAATCTCCGGCGCCGGCGACGGAGGAAGTCCGGTGTTCACGAACAGTTCGTTCTCCATTGTGTCAATTCAGGAATAAAATCGAAAACCCAGATCGTAATTCACTGGAAAGTTATTAAATTGTGTGAAAATAATCAAACCCGGATCAGGAATTAATTAATCGGAGATTAAAATTCTGCAGCTTGCCGAGAGAGGAGGAAAAACGCTGGGAAAAAGGGAGGGCTGGTGAACGGTCGTAGCGGGGTTTAAATAGATTAAAAAAAAAAGGTTAATAATTTAAAATAGTTTTTAAATGAATAAAAAAAATATAAATCGAAATAAAGAAAAATGATTTGGATTTGGTGTGTCGCACCGTAACGGGCGGAGAAGAGGAAGAATTTGCCGGGCATTTGACGTTAACCGATCTTTGATAATAAACATGTTTACAAAATCGACGTCTTTCTCCATTAATTAAACATATTTAGTTTTTTATTTCGTTTATTCGGACAAAAAATTTTAATATACAAATTCCACACGCACGTTAAGATTATACAATATATTTTTCTAGAAAAAGATTAATTTTTTTTACTGCAGATGCAGAGGTGAAAAGTTAAGTGCTAAAGGTAAAAAAAGAGAGAAATTTTACGATAAGATACACATATATGTGTGTGTGGCCATTCAAAAAATAATATGTTTGTGAAAATCTTTGAGACTCTAATTATAAGATACTCTTAAATTATAAAAGACAAATTAACCCAAATTTGGACGGTAATAAAACATATAGTTTATGTTTTTACTCCAATTTCAAATCCAACTGTAGAGAGGAAAACTCACATATACTTTTCTGTTTCTTTAGTAGATGTAGTTGGGATAAAAATTTCATAAACTTTCATATTATAAAAAAATATACTCTTTAAAAAGAAAAAAATAGTATTATATAAAATGATGTTTGACAAAAAAAAATGAAATTTGAAACGAAATAAAGGTAGAGAGAGAGAGAGAATCGATTCTTATAAACGATATTCTCCAACTAAGTATATAAGGGAAAACTAAATAATAAAACAAGACGAGGAAAGATATAACATAAAACAAGATAAATATAAAATAAGCTCATGGAAACTTTCGATGCGGAAATTATACTTGAACGATGGGCTTTGGTAAGTATTGCATTGAATTCCTTGGCGTTGCCGGGTTACTCGGGTTTGGTCGGGTTAACTTTCAGACCAACCAAAATAAATAAATAAATAAATTTTCATAACTTCATTAAAAGAATCAATTAAATAATCTTAAGTTCAACTTGGTTCCGTAATGATAAAATATTGATTAAAAACGTTATATATATATATATATGTGTGTGTGTGTGTGTGTGATCTTAATCAAAACAAACCTAGTAATGCGTTCGAAGTACGCACTGCAATAATATACTCAATATACACATTGAATCTACTAGGAACATTGTTGATATTAATATTACATAATTCTAAATTTATTGTAAAATTCACAATTAATTGGATTAAGAGGCTACATATATACTCCACAATTGTGAATAAGTCCGCCTCTATATTATACTCTCATCAAATTTGTTTGGATTTTTAGAAGTTTGCTATGTTGGTTTTGGATATTTAGTTTCTCGATTTTCACAATATATAGCATGTAGAATGAAACAAGATCCATATCTTACATGTCGTCATTTTCATATCTTGCATGGTTATATATATATGTGTATATGTATATATAAGGAATTTTATAAACCATTCTTTTAACGAATATTTGTAAAATAATAAAAAAATGCAATTTGCAGCTGCAATCTATAAAGGGAGGTTGGTCCATCTGCACAAAATCTTCTGTCTTGTTTTCTGTCTTAATTTTATAAAAGACAATGTAGCAAAAGCATTATATGTACTATGCATGAAAAACTTTATATAGGATCTACGTATTACAAACTTTGCATGGCAAAAAAAGTCTTCAAGTGCTATGAATGTACATTCATATATATATATATATATATATATATATATATATATATA